AAAATATGTTCTTATTTTATTCTTATTTGCGTAGGCTCCATAGCCAGTGTGGAGCCCGATGCAGGACTTGAATTCCTGACCCTGAGATGAAGACCTGAGCTGAGATCAAGAGTCAGATGCTTAACCAACTGAACCACCCAGGTGCCCCAAAATAAGTTATTTTAATGGCAACATAGCACAACCTCCTTTGAGACATCTCAAAACGTGGAAAGAAAAAAGAAATGATCTCTATTCACATTCCCTGATCCCAAATTCTGAGAAAAGCGCCTATACATTTCTTTCATCCTTTCTGTGAAGCCACAGACACGGACACACATAACCCCTCATAAGCCTTGACGTAGGTTTTTTCAGTCCATGCTGCATTAAGGGATTTTCCATATTTTTCAAGGTCATTCTTTGACTTGACTTCAATAGCTGGGTAACCCATGTTTACTGACTCGGGTTATAATCTGGGGGTATTTAGATTATTTCTAGGTTTCAACTGTTTTATTTCTTTATTGTGAAGTAGGCTTCACACCCAGCATGGAGCCTAATGCAAGGCTTGAACTCACAACCCTGAGATCGATACCTGAGCTGATATCAAGAGTAGGATGCTTCACCGACTAAGCCACCCAGGTGCCCCTGAACTGTTTTGAGCTATACTCCAGAGACATCACATTCCACCTGGTTTTCTTATAGATCCTTAGGACAACCACCTAAGTGAGACTGTCAAGTTAGAGAGCACAAATGCTTTTAAGGCTCTGATTCAGAGGTTCAATTGTCCTCCGGGAAGGCGGAACCAATTCTCATTCTCGAGGGAGGGATCATCACCCTAATGTACAGAAAGGCTCAAAGACCGGCCCGAGGACACACAGCAGAAAGGCAGGACCCAGGGGAGTAGCAGCTGCAGCCCAGTTTGGAGTGGGATGTAAAGTGAGCTGGGTGGGGGTGGCGCATACCTGAGTAGGAAGGTGGAGGTGTCCATGATGATGTTGCTGGAGAGCGTGAAGGTCTCAGCGGTGACAAGGACGCGCACAGGGAGGTAGAGGGGCCTGGGGGGTCACACGTGGGCTAGAGTAGGCTCCTGACACATGACAGCCTGCGCCCCCGCCCCTGGCTCTTGGCCCACCCAGCCTGGGTACCTGTAGTCCACGGCGCAGGAGAACAGGTGAGTGTGTAGGACAGTAATGACCGTTGGGGGCAGGTAACCCAGCACTGGGTCATCAAGCACATCTAAGAACTCCAACAGCTTTGGGGACCAGGACAGGAGTTGTGAGGACAAGGGGCCTCTTCCTTCCTCTAAGCAACCCCCACCCCCACCACCCCAGCACAGCTCCCCACCTGCTGCCCGTCACCTGTCAGCTGCCACCATACCCCTTGCCCAGGGGCTTCGCCTGGAAGTCAGCTCTGGCCCAGCCCAGACCTCTCACACTGGCCTCCCCGCTGGTCCAGAGACTTGCCTGCCTGTACCACTCTCACTCACCTGGGAGTGCCAACTCTGCTCCGGTAAGGCCATGAAGTGGCGCAGGGTGGCTCTGTGGAGCCTCAGTGTTACCAGGAATTCCTGGAGGTGGGGCACAGTCAGCATGGTGGGGCCCAGCCCGCCAGGCACCAGAGAGGCAGTCGTCCCAGCCAAGCGGGTGGACCGGGAGCGGGCACTATTGTACCTTGACGTTCTTGTGGGGGTCCAGGTGGATGCGCACAGCAGTGGACAGCATGTGGGGGCCCCGGCCCTGGCCCGTGTGGCCCGAGGCTCCCCGCTCGGTCACGCCTTCCTCTGACGGGTAGATGGCTGGGGCCAGCTGGGCCGGAGGAGCAAAGCTGGGCGGCTCCAGGCGACTGGGCAGCAGGCGGTCAGCCACAGCCGCTGGGGAGGCACCCGGTGAGCCCCCTGCCAAGCTGGCTGGCCGTCCCCTCCACCCGGGGCCCAGTCCCTCCTGAAAGCCCCCTCCCCTCATACCTCGGTGATAGAGCTTCGCCTTCTCGGCTTCCAGGCAGAAGTAGCCGAGTCCTGGCTGGCCCCGGTACTGGGAGACACTGAAGATGGTGCCTTGCTCCACATCCAACACCAGTTCCCCGTGTGAGGTCTCTAGCCTCCTCCCAACCTCATCCTGCAGACAAAGCACGTGGCTTGGCCCCACCAGGGCACTCAGTAGCCCCTAGGCCCTTGGCAGGGGAGGGGGCCCTGGAGCCCCAGCCCACCTAGGACCAGCCCCAGCTCTACCCAGATTCTGCTAAAGGTCTGGAGCAACACTTGCCTGTTTTGCCAGAAGGGGAGTCATCCCTGCCCTCCCCGCCATCCAGAATGAGACAGCACCCATCTGGACCCCTAGCATGGCACCTTGCATACAACCGGCGCTAATGGGGTGTGATGGGATAGGTGGGTCATGGGTGGGTGCTGCTAGCTGGATGGGCCACTCTCGGCCCCACTGGGGCTTTTTCCCCCAGATTCCCCAACTGCTCAGACAGGTCTTGCTCTCCTGCCAGTGGTGGGTGGGGAGCTCTGGAGTCAGGGGGGCTCACCTCCCCAGGGCTGCCCTCACCTTGGTCTCACAAAGGGCTGTGATCCGACCTTTCAGCACCGTCACCAGTGTAGAGAAGGTACTCTGGGAGCGAGGACCTGGGGACTCAGGGGCAGGGGGCTGGGGGGCGCCTGATGCCCCTACTGAGAAGAAGTGGGCATCCTCCTCATCCGAATCAGAGTCTGGGGTGAGATCAAAGAGCCAAGTGGGAAGGAGACCTGGGAGGGCTGCCCCAGCCCTACCCAGCTCTGGGGACCTTGGGATCCGTGCCAGGGCATCCCTCCTACCCAGCTTGAAGGCCGATTTGCACATCTTGAAGTTGGCATGCCAGCAGCCTGAGGGGCCGGGGAAGCCAGGGGGATGAGCAGTGGGGTCAGGGGTGGGAAGCAGGTCCGCAGGCTCCCACATGAGTAGGTCGTTGTTGATCCTGAGACAAGTGGACGGACAGCAGCAGTGAGGGTGGCCCAGCCCGGCCCCTCCCCATACTCCCCCTACTCGCCTGAGTCACCACCTGTTATAGAGGCTCTCATAGGCCTCCTTGCTGGGCAGGAAGATATGGGCACTGGGCAGGACCACTTCAAGGCTGCAGCGTGATAGTGCCAGGGCCCGGCTCTGGAAGGTTTTCATCTCCTCGGGGTCTCCGGGAATCACCATCTAGTCAGGGGAGTGGGGAAAGGCATCTGAGAGATGTCAGGGTCTGCCGCTGGCTCGGGAATCAGACTCTGGTCTGCACGCTGACTTCCTATCATTCATTCATTCATTCATTCATTCATTCATTCATTCTCATGCACTGATGGGAGCCCTTCTCTGCTGGGAGGTAGGACAGCCATCTCGGGAGAAGCGCTGGCAGCATGCCAAATCTGCTTGGAGGGCCTCATATATGTTAACTCCTTTATCCTCATGATAGGCCTACGACACAGGTCATTGCACCCACTTTCAAGATAAGGAAACTCATCTGAGTATAGGTCTCTAAGAGATTAGACCAGTTCTAAGATGACAAAGATAGAGTGGCAGAGCCTGGATTCAAACCCACTTTAGCCCAGAGACCAGGCCCTTAACTGTCTCTCACTCAAATCTCATCACCTTCAGAGAAAAGGATCCCGAGGTCCCTGCCGAGAAACAAGGTCCTGATCTTCCCAGCGAAGGACCTGCCCCCACCAGTGTCCTCACCCTTAGGCCCCATGAGCTGGGGTGCTTCGGACTCCCCACTGATCAAAGACGATGGAAGCGATGCCACTCTTGCCGGTGCTGGGTCACGTCACCTGGTGCCCTAAGTGATCCTGTCCTCCTGGCCCACAGCCACCAAGTGGCTCCCTTGGGTTTGGGGCCTCACCTCCTCTGTCTCATACATGGTCCTCTTGGAGGAAAACGGCGAGGGCTCAGGTTCCCGCAGCTCACATGGACTCTCAGCCGACAGCTCCAGCTCCTCTCCCTTCTCGGGGGTCACCTCCCACTGTGCACTGCTGAGCTGGGGGTTCAGGGTCACCACCACCCTGCCAGGGCACAGGCCTGTCACCGGGCTGCAAGTCTCCCTCAGCCCCTGGTCCCCGCCCCCTCCAGCTTCCTGCTGCCCTCAGGAGCAAAGCACTCCTCTCCTGTCTGCCCTTTGAGCCCCCACTTACTGGGGCAGGAAGTATTTGTGCCCAGGGCTCTTGGGATCCAGGGCTTTGGAGACCCGCAGGCAGGGGATGGGTGGCTTCTCTCCGTCTTCGTAGGTGCCTGCGAGGATGAAGAGGAGGGGTTGTCATTGCTGCCTTTCCCCATTTCTTCCCCAATGTCAGGTGGGGTTAGTGGGGGCCCGGAGCCTCCATCGTGGTGCCTGCGCCCTCCCTCACACCCATGGCCGGCAGCAGTCCAGTGATGAAGGGTCCACTCTGCACACTCTCAGAGGAGCCTGAAGACAGGTAATGCTGGCATCTCACAGAGCTGGTGAGACCTTGGGCCCCAGTCCATCCCAACTGTGTCTCAGTCCCTTCCGTAGCCCTGGGCCCCCCCTCTCCCAGAGGCCTGAGGCCCTGCCCTGGGTATTGTCCTCTGGGGGCTCTCACCGTGAAGGTCGGAGCAGGTAAGTTCCAGGCGGGTGGGGATGGGCGGACCAGGACCACTGCTCAACTCTGACCGGAACTGGGGCTCACTCAGCTCCAGCCGCAGCTGCTCAGCCCGCACAGCTCGGCCTGCCCAGGGGTCCCGCTCGGGCCGCAGGTCAGCAATGGGGAAGCGCAGCCGCAGCGTGGCCTGGGGTGCTGACAACCGCACCACTGTCTGCTGCTCGGCAGCTGGTGGGGGTTCCGTCTGCGGGACGAGGGGGGTGATCAGAGCTGCCAGAGGCCCCAGCACTATGGCTGTGAGCTAGAGGGTCCGTGCCGGCCCCCTGCCCCAGCTGGGTATCTTACCAGGAGGCCAGCAGGTGGTTCGGGAGGGGGTATGGTGGCCAGGCGCAGCAGGGCAGCAAGCCGGTCCAGGGCCCCCAGCTCCACATCTGCCTGGAAGTCAGCTAGGTCCAGGGCCAGTTCTGAGTGGCAATGGCAGGCGGCTGGGCGCCGGGGTCGGCTCTGAGGGTGAAGGTGTTCAGGTCAGCGAGGGCTGTGGGGTAGGTGAGGGCAGGATGGGAAGGGACCCCCTTGAGCAAAAACAAAATGCAGAGGCCGCCTGGCTGGTGTGGAGAAAAGCTTGCACAGGGGACAAAGCTAGGAAGGGAGAGGGAGACCCTCACCATATTGCCTGACAAAGAGGACCATGTTTGTTTAATATAAGCCATCCAATATTCAAAACAGGCAGGGGTTGCCAAGATGAGCCAGGGAAGGGGCAACCAGGCCAAAGGATACATGTGTAGGGCCCAGACGTCGTCTTCAAGGGCTCCCAGATGGGGAGGTGTGCTCTAGCTGGAGCACAGGCAAGGGGGCTGGAGGGTGGGAGCAGGCAGCCACCAGGGGAGGTCGGGGGATGGGGCGGGGTCAAGGTACCACGGAAACAGCCAAGGGCCCTTAGGCACGGGTTGGGGGGGTTACCTTGGACACACGGCGTAGAGTCTGCGTATGACGCAGGTGGGCACAGGGCCGAGCTGAGGCCTGGGAACCCAGGCTGCCGGGGAAGCTCAGGATCTGGGATGGGACACAGGAGGCAAGAGTCAGGCGGGGCCTCCAGATCCACCTGAACCTGCGGGCCCTCCCACATCCACACTCGCTCTCGGCCCTCACCTCCGTGTACTCAGGCTCGAAAGCGCCCCTGGGCCACAGACACTCCAGCACCTCGAGCTGCCCAAAGTGCACCTGTGTGCTGGTAGTCCGCCGGCCCCTGCCTGTCCGCAGCTCCCAGGACAGCTGCACAGCTGTACCCGTTAGCCTGCGAGGAAGAAGCTGGGCATCAGAGGTTGGGCTCGGGGGGCTCGGGGAGTCTCTCCTTGGGCCCCTGCCTCAGGCTTGTACCGGACGTGGCTACAGGGACAGGCCCTCTGGAAGCGCGGTCGGAGATGGTGGAAGTCACGGGAGCCGAAGGGCCCATCCTTGGTGGCATCAAACTCCGAAAAAAAGTGGGTACTGAGGTCAGGTGGTCCAGAAGATGGGGCAGATGTCTGAAGCAAGGTCAGAGTCATGCCCCCCAGGGTCATCTTTAGCAGCGAGTCAGGGCGCAGGGTGTCCGGGAGGGGTGTGGGGGCCGTCTTGCCTGAGAGGAGAGAGGTTTTACCAGGGACTTCCCAGAGCTCATGGGCACCCCAGGTAAAGTGATGGTCAGATGCTGGGCCAGGGGCTGGGAGAAGCCCTGGCCCAGATGGACTATGACTCTGGCACGGGGCCTGGCCGGGCAGGGGCGACACAGAGCCTCATCATGCCAGAAACTGAGCCCAAGCTCAATTCAACCCTCTCAAGGAGCTGGAAGGACTAGAGGTGGCAAGGCACTCAGTCCAGCACCTGACACACATGATGTCTCAACAAACACCGGTCAATATGTATAGCTCGGCAAGGTTAGATCTTATTACACCCTTTCTATGGAAGGGGAAACGGAGTCTCCAAGAATTTAAATGCTTTGCCCAAGATCACTGACTATGACACCTAGCCCTCTATCTATTGTGTCACCAGCCTCCCGAGCATCCCCAGGGAACCAAGTCACCCACGCGGACGGCTAAGCATGAGTGGAGGCCTCCTGCACCCACATGATATCACAGGGGCACTGAGGCCTCTTCCAGCTGTTCTTGCCCCAGGAGCACTCACCAGTTGGGTGGGCATGAGCAGACAGCCGGCGGGGGGCCATGTCGCTGTGCACTGAAGATCCTAGGTCTACATCGGAGAGGGAGAGCTCGGAGAGGGCTGAGGCCACACTGCTTGTGAGGCCCGCCATGGAGAAGAAGAGGTCTGTGGGCCAGGACAGGGGAGGTTAGGGAAAGCCACACTTGGTCCCCACTCCTGCACCCATGCTCGCTGCCCAGACAAATGCCAAGTGTGACCCCACACCCACCAGTGTTGTCCAGGTTGACAAGAGGGCTGGCAAGGGGTTCTGGGCTGAGGGGCTCAGCCACAGCCCCTGCCCGAAGCTGCTCATTCAGGTCCTGCTCAATCAGCCACAGGTCTTCGGCACCTAGCGGGCGGCTCTTGTTCAGCTTGTCCACCAGGCCCTCGGGGTCTAAGGAGGAGGACAGTTGTTTCTGTCAGCCCGGCCTGGCTGGCCCCTCCCCAGGCATCCATTCCCCTGGAGCGCCCAGAGGCCTCACCTGCAAGGCTCATGGCACTGAACAGTTCTTGAAGCCGCTGGAGCTGCCGAGGGGTCAGGAGCAGGTGCAGGGAGCCCAGCTGTCCAGACACTTCCAGCTGGGGCCAGAAGGGGCCAGAGGAGACAACCATGGAGCCTACATCTGCCACCTAGGCCCTCTGAGAGCCACCACTCACCTGCCCTCACCCAGAGGACGTAGGATGTCAGTTGCCAGGCTAAGCTGTCACCAGCTAGTTCTGGAACCCCGGCCACAACTTGACCACTGAGCCTGTTTCTCTAATTGCTAAGAAGGCAGTAACTTCCCCCACTCAATGACCCTGCTTTGCACTGCTGAGGAGTATTCTGAAATGGAGCACATTCCATCCTCTATTCTGAAATGGAGCACATTCCATCCTCCACAGGGGCTTGGGACCCACCTTGGGGCCTGGGAAGGCCTCATTCTGCTTCAATTTCATTGTCAACTCCATATACCCTGAGCAGCTGCCAATCTGCAAGGGGGGTTTCGGGGGTTCCTCCTGGAGGCAAGAGGATACAGGAGGGAACGGGTTGAACATATGAGGTCAGAGATGGTCAGAAGGAATGGGGGGACGGTCAGCGGGGGCAGATGGGAGAGAAGACAGGGATTAGAAGGAGAAAGAAACTGTGGGGATCAGAGTCAGCCCACCTGTGGGGGGAGCTCCTCGAAGTGTAGGCGGACCCCCGCCAGCTGCAACAGCTTGTGCAGGAAGGCAGGGGGCTGGTGCACGTCCACTGGGGGGGCCTGGCTTGGGTCCCGCACTGCCTCGTCACAGTACTCCAGTCTAGGGAGTGGAGGATGAGCCCTTGCCCCAGCCACCTCAGGCTGGCGCCCCTCTCCGAACACAGCACTTTGTTCTAGGGGTCTGGGGTCAGAGTCTGGACAGCAGAGCTTCCCCACCAGAGCCAGGCCATCCTGGACCTCCATGGCCAGCCCTTCTTCCTCAGACCCTGGTGTGTAACCTGCTCCTTAGGGCCCCAGCCACTCTGGGCCTGTATCACCCTGGCCGTCGGGCCCCATTCCAGGCTCACGATATGGTCCTCCCACCACTACAGCCACCACCAGGACCACCCAAAATTCGCCCTGCTACCTCTCAGGAGCCCAGGCTGGGGTTAGGGGCAGGGGCACCGCCAAGGCCACGCGGCAGCCCCTCACTCCCCCTCCTCTTCGCACCAGACCACCCCGCTTGGCATGCCTCTACCTCTGCACGTGGACTTCCACCGCCACGCCATGCTCCCCATCACCTGGTGAGTGTTCCACCCTCACCACAGTGTCCAGGAAGGTCACCTTGATCCTTCGTAGCACTGAGGGGCGGAAAGGGGTCTCAGGCCAGGTAGAGCCGCAAGGGAGCAGGCAGAGTTTCCCCACTGGGGCAGCAGAGTGGCCATCCCACTGTCTAGGGCCCCTGTTTTGTGGGCTACAGGGGGGCAGGGAGCAGGGTGGCCATGGGAGGCCTACTTACCAGTCTCAATGGTCTGGGCAAACATTTCCAGTCCCTCCAGGGGCTGTGGTGGCTCAGAGGGCTCGGGCAGCCCATCCCGAAGGCACTCCTGAGCCAGCTGTAGGCTCGTGGTCATGCAGGAGGCCCAGCTCTGTGAGTCAGCAGCCCCTGGCCCTGTGAGTAGGCAGAGGGTCTCAGAAGAGGTGCCCAGGCCTACTCCTACCACTTGTTCCCCAGCCCCCTGCCCCTAGCCTTGCCCAGCCCTCACCTGGGCCCCGGCGGGGCTGCAGAGTGAGCTGGAGTCCTGACACACGCACGGTGCAGTGGTCGGTGAGCAGCGCAGCCCAAGGCACGGCCACCTCGATAGAGCCCACAAAGCCTTCCACCAGCTCCAAGGGTGATTCTATGGACTCCAGCACTTCGTTCACAGACTGGGAGCAGGGAAGGGACAGATCCGGCTCAGGGAAACCTCCAAATGTGGCGGTCTCCCTGGCTGCAGCACTCCTGGTGGGCTGCTGCGACCTTCGAGAGCTCCCTGGCTCTCCCTGCCCCCTCCCTACCCCCCACCCACTGCCCCTGTGCTACCTATAAACTTCTACTATCGCTCTAGCTGATCCCTACTCTTGGCCCATCCAAACGTGGTCCATCCTTTAAACCAGAGGAGGGGGAGCTGAAGGATGAGAAGGAGGAAGCCAGGCAGAGGGGATGGAAGGTGGTATGTTCCAGGCACGGGAACAGCACGTGCAAAGGCACAGCGGAGTGCAGCAGCACCCACGTTCTCTCTGGATCAGTGTGGAGTTCAAGGGGAGTGTACACGAGAGGCTGGCAGAGGGCCGAGCTGAGCCGGAGGGGACCCCTGCCCAACTTCAAACATTTGGTGTAGCTGTACCTCTCTGAGGTATGAGGCTGAGAACCCCTGGTTACAAATGGGGAAATAGCACCGTTGCCCGTCTGGGAGCTTCTTGAAGGCAGGAACTCACCTGCCTGCTTCACGTGACCCCAGGTAGTGTGTGGTACCACCCAGAGAGGATCCCAGTAACGCTTGTTGGATCCGTGAGTAAACAAACACATGGCAGAACTAGAAGACTCATAGAGGTCAAGTTGAAATTCCTTACCCAGAGATCCACAGATGGGAAACTGAAGCCTAGAGAGAAGGGCCTAGTTTAACCACTCAGTGTGGGGTGAGGACTGTGACTGAAGTCTCTCTCCTCACCCCATCCCAGGATCCCCAGGCACTCAGCTTCTTCTGGGGTCTTCAAGGCAGGAGCGGCAGGCAGAGCAGCTTGGAGGAGGGGCTGGCTATGGGGAAAGCACCTGCTTTCCAAGGGACAACTCCTGAGGCCAGCCCAGAAAGCATCCTAGCTAGGAGCCATTTCAATCTCCACCAAGAGGGCAGGGCAGGGCTGGGCAGGGTGGGAGTGTTTTCTGGGACTGGAAGTAGGAAGAGGCAGCCTAGAGGTCTTGGCCATTTCTTTCAGGCCAGCCTAAGAGGCTGAAGTCAGAGGTCAGAAAAGGCCTCCTCCACTAGGATTCACAGGCAAGAAGCTATCGGGAAGTGTCCCCAGCTCTGGGCTCAGGAGTTTCCCCTTACCTTACATTTGCCCAGGGAGGCCTGCCTACCCCTAAAGCTCAGCTCTTCCTGCCCCACATTGCATTTAGGCCAGGCACTCTGTCGGCCCAGCCAGAAAACTGAGAAGCCCCTGCCCCATGCCCACCCCTGCGGCTCTGGACTGGAGGGCTGACCCAGTGCCAGCCCTGGGCTGATGCCTCTAATTGGTGGCTTCTTTGCAACTTCCCAGTTCAGCTGAGTTGTGACTCACTGCCTCTCACCGCCCCCAGCCTCAGGCCTCTGACCCAGACCTTCTTCCTCCCGCCTCCCCTGCATCTCCCTTGGCCTCCCCCCGGCCTGAAGCCAAACCTCTCCATTTTTCCTCAGGGACTCTCTGGCAGGTGGGGACGGATGCTAACTCCCAAGCCCCTCCCCAAACGCTACTGGGTCCATCCCACTCTCCCCAAAGCAGGAAGTAGGCAGGGGCGGCAGTCGCCAGTCACACGAGGTGTTGATCAACACCGGCGCTGACGCGGTTGTTGACATCCACGTCCGGAGGCGGGAACCCCACCCACTTGGCCCAGGATCTTAGGGTCAGGAGGTCAGAGCACCTTTCCCACAGGTGCTCTCGGCAGGACTCCGGACCCCTACCAGCTTTCCCTGACCAGCTGCAAGGCCCCAACTCTCTCACTGCCCTGGCCCGGTCCTATTAGAGCCCCCTAGTTCCTCCGCTCCCTCCTCACCTTCCCCTTAGCCCCTGAGAACCACGCTTCCCAACTCAGGCCCCAAACTCGATGTGCTTATTCTGGCATTCTTCAGACAAGTGACATCCCCCTCCCCAGCCTCAGTTTCTCCTACTGTGGAGGCAGGGACCCAGTCCTACCCAGCTTCTGGCTCTGGAAGCGATCAGTCGCCTGGAAAGGGCCTGACTCCCATGGCCTCTCCACGCCGTATGCCCGGTCCCCAGCCCACCCTTCAGTCAGAATCCTTAGGTCGTTGCGGCGCCCCCCGCCCCCTTTCGCGAGCTCGGGCCTGGTTCCTCACCCAGATCTCCAAGTGGATATCCCGCAGGGCAACGCTGCCCTTGTACAAATCGAGGCTGAGCTGGTCCAGGCTGAGGTGCTCCTGGAAGAAGTGACCCAAGTAGTGGTGCAGCAAGTAGCGGCATACCCGCTCTTTTACACAGTTCGACCATGGCCACAGCCATCGTGACATCTCGGAGACCTTCGGGCCCGGGCCGCCTGCGCTCGCCACCCGCCGGCGATGCCTGTCGGGCTTCGCTGTTCACTAGAGCCCCCGGCTCTCCCCGCCGCTTCTCTCAGCGCCAGGCCGCGCCCCCCGGACCCTCAGCCACGCCCCCCACGCTCAATGCCATTCGCCGTTGTAAAGGGCGAGGCTTGCTGATTGGCCGCGGGGGGCGGAGTCTTCGAGCACGAAAAAGGGACTGGGCTCTCCGCACGACACAGGGCTCCTAATCCTGATTTACGCTTGCGTAAAAATTCTCGGTGGGAGGACCTTTAACCTCCCTTCTACCGGCTCTGGGAAGGCTGTTGCAGGAGGTACCAGCCCCGCAGAGGAATGCGCATGTGCCGACTCTTCCAAGTACTTGAGGTAGTTAGGCAGGATTTAAAGGGACAGTGTCCCATCAAACTTAAGCTTCCCAGAGGAATAAAGTCTGTGTGAGAGCCCCAGCGCGCGTCATAGAAACAATTAAGTGAGTAAGCATTTGCATTTTACAAAACGCTTCACCATCTTTTATCTCATTCAACCCTCATGACCTTCTTAGGTGGAGATTTGAAAGATAAGAAAACCATTTTACAGATAAGAAAACCGATTTATAAATACTCTTAAGTCCATCACCGAGGAAGTTCCCCCCCCCCCCCCCCCCTTACCTGGAATGCTGGGCAGGAGATTTACCGACCCTCCCTTCTCTCCGCATTTGGTCAAGCCTCCAGCTCCTCTCTGGGGGAAAAAAAATTAGTTTTTCTTATCTCTAACCTAAAATTAATAACAGATGGACTTAATCCCTTGAGCAGGGGTCTGTTGTTTTTGTACAGCCAGTGAGCTAAGAATGGTTTTTACATTTTTTAGTTTTAATTTTAATTTTTTTTACATTTTTAAATAGTTGGAAAAAATCAAAAGAAGAATAAGACTGCATGACACATGATAATGTCATGAAATTCACATGTGAGTATCCATAAAGTTTTAGTGGAACACAGCCACGCTCGATTAAGTACTGTCTGGGAGCTGTTGGAAGGTGGGGAGCTGTTGCCCCAAATAATTGTTTCGTGGCCATTTACAGAAAGTTTGCCAACTCTTATTCTACAGGGTTGGCCACCCAAGCCCTCTGACATCATAGGTGATTTAAAGGATACCGACAGGTAATTATAATTCTATTTTAGCCTTACTAGGGAGGGGGACTCTACTGCAATCTAATAAAGGCAGCCTGAAGCAAGGGCAACCACCCTGACCTGAGAGCCAGGGGCCTGGATTCCAGTCCCAGCTCTGTGTGGCCTCAGGCAAGTCACTGTTCTTCCAAGAGCCTGTTTTATCCCCGGTAACCTGGAGTTGGGGTGGTAGGTGGTACAGTCCATTTACCTGGAAGGGACTAAGGAACAGCCTCCTAGGTAATTTTGGGAAGTACTGGGAAGGTTCCATTCAAGGCAGATTAATAGGAAAATGTGGAATGAATCAAGAGATTAACCTTTCTCCCATAATAGGCCAGGGGCAGTGTTATGTTCATCCAACATTTATTAAATTAATAATAATTAAAACGAGAGGGGTGCCTGGGTGGCTCAGTCAGTTAAACGTCCAACCAACTTCGGCCCAGGTCAGGATCTCAAGGTCTGTGAGTTCGAGCCCTGCATTGGAGCCCCACATCAAGCTCTGTGCTGACAGCTCAGAGCCTGGAGCCTACTTCGAATTCTGTGTCTTACTCTCTCTCTCTACCCCTCCCCTGCTCACTCATGCAGGCTCCCTAGCGTGCAGTCTCTCTCTCTCTCTCTCAAAGTAATAAATAAACGTTAAAAACATTTTTTTAATAATTAAAATGATAGGGGCGCCTGGGTGGCTCAGTCGGTTGGGTGTCTGACTTTGGCTCAGGGCATGATCTCGATGTCTGTGAGTTTGAGCCCCGTCTCGGGCTCTATGCCGACAGCCTGGAGCCCAGAGCCTGCTTCGGATTCTGTGTCTCCCTCTCTCTCTGTTCCTCCCTGGCTTGCACTCTGTCTCTCTCTCTCAAAAATAAATTAAGATTTTTAAAAAAATTAAATAATGGGGCGCCTGGGTGGCGCAGTCGGTTAAGTGTCCGACTTCAGCCAGGTCACGATCTCGCGGTCCGTGAGTTCGAGCCCCGCGTCGGGCTCTGGGCTGATGGCTCAGAGCCTGGAGCCTGTTTCCGATTCTGTGTCTCCCTCTCTCTCTGCCCCTCCCCCGTTCATGCTCTGTCTCGCTCTGTCCCAAAAATAAATAAAAAAACGTTGAAAAAAAAATAAAAAAATTAAATAATTAAAACGATAGACACCATGAATTGAGCCTGTGTGATGTCCTGGGCCCTGGGCTTGTCACTTTATACGCATTACTTCGTCTGTTCTTCACTATGTCCTTGGTGGTAGGTACTATTAATATCCCCATTTTACAGGAGAGGAAAACTGAGGCCTTGTGTGTAAGTGCCTGTGGAGCAAGTGAATGAACAAGCATCACTTCTCCCAAAGGCAGTGGGAGTGGAAGGGTGTATACTGGAGTCTAGGAAAAGTCCTGAAGTCCAGACTTGGAGAGGCAACTATTCCCCTGCTGTGGGAACAGGGTACATCACGTGCAAAGGTTGGGGACACAGAACCATTCCCAGCATCTAGGCCCTCAGTCTGGGTGGCTGTTTCTTAGGCCAGCTTCCCTCCAGGGAGGCTGCACTCAAGTCTGTGACACAGCACAGTGTCTGTGCCACAGCAGAGGAATAACTAGGACTTAGAAGGGCACAAAGGTCTTTCATGCTGCCTCCTGCAACGTGCCATGAGATCCACAGAAGACCAACTCCAAAGATGTAGTCATTCCGCAACCTGACCCAGGCCTTGGAGTAGGAGCTGAATGAGAGAATAAATAATACAGAGTAAAGACAGAGAACAGAGTAAAGAGGATGGTGTTCTCTCAGGACGGGGCCTCACAGGGGTATTCCTGGGATGAAGATCCAGGGCACGGTTCCTCTCCACAGAGAGAAAAGGGAGAGGGTCAGGATTTGTGGGACCCCTTGGGGACTTCTCCATACTAGATTAGGTAGAAACTCATCAGGCAAACTGGGTGCTGTAGGCCTCAGGGGCCCTGGGGTTGAGGCTCTCCCTTTCCCAGGGATGGTCCACCCAGAAGAAATCCTCAGGGAAATCCCTCAATGGGGTCTTGATAGGTGTAGATGGGATCATGGAAGATAGCCTGGGGGCTGTGCCTTTGACTGGGTCCACGGTGGAGGGCTTGGATTTGGCATTTTGTCTGATCCGTGGTAAAATGCACAGAACAAATTTTACTACCTTAGCCATTTCTGAGCATACAGTAGTGTTAAAGATATTCACATTGTGAACTTTATCGTCTTGCAAAACTGAAACTCTATACGCATTAAACAATACCAAAATGGGTGAATTGTATAGTATGTGAGTGGTATCTCAATAATGATGATTTAAAAAATGATAATGTTGGGGCTCCTGGGTGGCTCAGTTGGTTAAGCAACAGACTTTGGCTCAGGTCATGATC